GGCAGTGATGACACTGCTTCCCTCTCCTTCCCCCTGCAATGACAGTGCTAAGTGTGAAGCTGTACAGTTCAGGCAATGTTCACATACAGATCATATTCGCTGACTTGGCAGAAATGACCCAGAGCAGTTTCCTTCCTGTTGCTATTAGCTTAATACATGTCGGCTTGTTCCATGCTGAATTACATCCACGCATGGAAACTTGAGTGGCAACATGAATAGTTTTTGTTTTGGTGTACTCAGTGCATTTAGGATAATAATTAATTAAACAAATGATAAAGCGAGATAGCAAAAAAGCATTTTGATAACATTCAGAACTATTTTATGAGCTGTTAAACCAAGAACTACAGACAAACATGGAGAACTACAGAAGCATTGAGCATTATTTTGGCAATACTTTTTTTTTTTTGTCCACAAACCCAAGATGCTTTACCATAAACTAGAAGTACCAGGTTCACATTTTCACATTGGCCAACTGCGCCATTTTTCACTTTATTATTATCACATGGAATTAACAAGATCCTCCAGGTGCTTCACTGGCTGTAACAGACTTAACTCGATTCATGTCAGTGGAGGATCTAGGTCTTACCTGCCATACTTGTTCTTCCATTAGATTTTGCTTTTTATACGGCACAGAAAAGGCACATGCCCCGGCAAATGCTCAAAATTATTCTATCACTCATCAAATCTCTGTCATGGTTCATTTTTTCAGTATGCAAACAGCACCTCAACAGACCAAGTTAAAAAAGGATTGGCCCCCTCTGAGCCTTTTGCACACAGGAACAGCAACCACAACAGCTCAAATAAAAATGCTCTCTAGAATTGTGTCAGCAATGTACTATCTTTAGGCAGTTCCAACATTGGATATTAAAATTAGCTTGGAATGCATAAACTGAAACTAAATGTGGAAACACCTTTACTTACTGTGTTAAAATTTGGGAAGAATCCAACAGCAGAGCTGCTGTCCACAGGGAAGGACATAAAGGGTTTGATATCCAGGGAAGGCTGCATCATCAAGGTAGATGTACGCACAAGGGTGGGAAGTGTAGTAGTGCCTGCCAAGAGCAAACAAAACCAGGAATTCATAGTATTCTTCTTTCTACATCACACACAGCATAGCTGACACGACCACCAAGAAAAAATAATACAGGGACGTAATAAAGTGAGTCTGTAGGAGACACTGTCATTAAAAGAAACCTGTTTCCACACACTACAGATGAGGCAGAGCACTTCCCTATGGCCATGGATACTCAGATGCTGAAGAGGAGACATATGGTATATAAATCACACTGACAGGTAGAATAAATCCTCTCTAACGCTGAAAAATTCTGCTGTGCCAAAAGGCCAGGATGAGCACCCATGAGTCAGATGCTTTTGCAATTCATGGTTGCCTGTTAGATCAGCTAGCACAGACAATACACGCAAGCTGAAATCCAGAGGATTGTTTCCAAGTAGCGATCTGTTATTTTTTCCTCTTCTGACAGTAACTATCAGGTGCTGCACAAACACCATTTTACCTAACGTATTAAAAAATGCCTTCTGTTTTACAGTGCAAGGCAAATATTAGAAAACAGCCAACAAGTAAATGATCAGGTAGCACAAATGAATGTAAATCTTTACATACAATGCAAACTAGTATTTACTTAATTGGAGTCCAGATCTTTCTCTCCAAATAAGAGAGCTTCCCAGAAATCTACGTGCTGAAATTCTTTCTGTATACACTTGAGAATCATTCCCCAGCAAGACCCCAAAGAAATGGGAAGGCACAGATGTCCAAATATTCATTTTTAACTAGTTATCTGCCCTCAGTTTCTCCTTCCTGGGTTGAACAATTAGTTCAGCACTGACTGGAGCAGGCACTGGAACACAAGTGTCCCACACCTCTAAAAGAGTGTGAGTCACTCTCTGCCTCTCTTACCTCTGCCAGAATTTCTCCATAATTACCTCCTCCTCCCACTCGCTGGTGGCCAACACATCAGCTGGGAGTTTAACAGTCCTCTTAGGAATTTCTCTGGTCTTAAGCAGAGCTGACGCAATACCGAAGCTTTTTCTCCTAGAAGTTATCTGAGCTTTTTTAAACCCAGTCAGGAAGGTAAAACAAAAAAGGGGGGAGGGAAGGGAGGGAGAAGGTGGGGAGAAACGTAAACAAGCCATTTTCCCTCTCTTCTCCCATAAAATCAAATCATTTGCATCTACTTGCAAGATGCGACGCGATCCATATTGGCTGCCTGAGTACCGGTCTTCCATTAAGGGATCTCCCTTTCTCCCTGTTAAGGACATCCAAAACTGAAGGCAGAGTAGAAATTTTCCTCCTTTTCATCTCATCATCCTGCCTCCATGGACACAATAAACCCCATCTTACAGTATCCAAGAGGAAAGCTGAGTTCAGAAGCCAGATGGGGCTGCATGGATTTTTTGGATGGTCAAACACTTATAACTAGCCCTGAGCTCAAATATTGTAGATGCTGGAGAGACAGTCATTTTGATCACAGCTGTAGCACAGTAAACATATTATGGTCTAGCAGATGAATAGCAGGCCACAATCGATTCTCTGTTTTTTCTATAGGAAAAGTGTGATGATTGCACAAAGATGGGTCGTTGACAACTATGGAGAGAGAACTGTAACACCATCCCAACCGAGCTGCAAAACTCGAATGGAAAAATATGCTTGAGACACTTTCCCAGAATATTTTCTACCTTCTCCTAGCCCAATAATTTCATAAATATAAGGTTTGTTTCTGCATAAGCCCAAGAAACTCATTGACAGTTGTGCTTAATTAAGCGTAAGTCAAAGCTTATTCAAGTGGAGTCACAAACGTCAAAAAGCTAAAAGCTAACATTCCTACAGTTTCTTCTTCATATCCATAATGAAAAAACCACATCAATTGGAAAGCAGTGTGTCAGAGGATTCCGAAGAAAATATCTTCAGCTGCAAAAGTGATGAGTATTTCTACTAGCTGGTTTTGAAACAGATGATTTACATAATTTGGATTTCAGAGTTGCATTCAAATGGCAGCTCTGTTGTATTCAATTAACTAAAGTCCATAAAGTGCCATCATCAATCTAACTTCTCCAAGTTTCTCTTTGAAGTTTATAAGCAATTAAAGATCCGTGAAGTTAAAAAAGACCTGTCCTCTCTTTATATATACATAGCTTAATGAAGCTGTTACATATTTTAACTAAATTTTACAGAAAAAGTATAAAACAATAGAGTTAAATTGTGACTGACATTTAAAATCAGAGTTAAACTAGGTTTCCGATGTTGTCTTTAACCAAGGTATAGAAAGCATTTGGCATAAAAGTTTTAAAAATTAGAAAACAATTAGCATCTTCCTGCAAACAATGCAATCTTCTTCGTACTCCTAGGCTGAGTACAGACCATTTCACATGACAAAGGAATTCAAAATCTGCCTGCAGTTTTGCAGCTTATGGTGTTTCTGCTGCCAGACTAATATATGACCAATAGGCTAGGATACACTCAGAGTCTGTGCAAAATAGAAAGCACATACACCTACCTCCTACTGATTAATGGAGGCATTAATAACAGAAATTTATTCACTTCTGTTCACCAGTTTACTACTTCAGCTATTGCAAATCAAATACTAGGGACCCTGTTTGACTGAAGTCTGATTTGCAGACCCACTTTTCAAAGCCTTTGGAAGAATGATCAGATAAAGATGACCTAAACTGCAGCTAGAAGCACTTCAGTACAAATTATCAAATTAAAAAGAACAGGGCACAGTTTTACACTGGCATTGCTCCCAAATGTCAAATAGATTCTCACCACCACTCCACCAAATCTGTATGCAGACCTGAGCTAAGCAGGAACGCTGGCACAAGAAAGATGTAGCTGACAAGCTTCATTATCCTCATAAATTTAACAGATGTTTACCATTTCATTAGCATTTAAATTATAAAGACAACTTACCATGTCAAACACAGAGTGTTTAGAACTACTTGTAAATCTTTGGCATAAAGATAACCGATCTTTCTTGTAAATTCATTTGTTCACTTCAGCTTTATAATTTTCAAACAGTGTTTTTTACCTTTGTAATTTCAATTTTGACTCCCACAGCAGAAGTTACCTATGTACCGGAGATGCAAGCAGCAGGCAAACTTTGCCGAAGTGCACTGATTCTCACTGGTCCCTTTTACCCTTGTCTAAGAGGAGGAAAACAGGCTTTAATCTGAGCAGGTGATCCAAAATGTCTCATTTTATTGAATGGTTTTCTTCCTCCTGTACATATTTATCTGAAAAACAAGTCTCCATGTAACAAGTGCTGTTCCTCTTCAGCCACATAAATGTTGCTTCATGGACACTGCAATGCACTGGGACACTGATGTTTTTGCAAAAGTTATGGAAGGTGGTCATCTTTACCCAAATTTGATCTGTCTCTAACAAAAAAGGCACATAACTAATAGAATAAGCAGCAAAAGTGGTATTTTGGGGGAGCAAATAAAAAGTCTTGTATCGGTCGCTCCCACAGCAAGACAAGTCCCAGGGGCCAGTGAGACATGCTTTACCCAGGCAAAAGAAGGGGCCAGATGACATGGAGATTCAAGAAGTCTCTACCAACAACCACTTGCAGCTCCATTGCAGCTTCAAGAAAAACTGTGGGAGCCAAGACTAGAAAGACTGCAGTTTAGGCAGAGTCAATCACAGTTAGCTTTGGCCATGGTTAACAGTCACTACTTATCTTTTTCAGGTAAGAGCGATGTCATGTTCATTCAAATCTAAACATACAATTTCCCCCTTTTTACCTCCTAAAAGCTATTTGTGAAAGTATTACTTCTATGATTTTCTCCCTAAGTGCATTTCTTTATCATTGACAAACAAAAAAAGATGTAATGTCTGCACATTAATACCTCTGATTTGAGCCAATATTAGACGATTGCATGAAACCCAAATCCACCACAAAGCTTACTCATCTAAAATACATTTAGTGAACAGTTTCAGCATACTTAAAGAAATTAACTACCTTCCAGACTTGAAAGCATGCTCTTCCAAAGTCTTCATTAAAGGCTTCTATAGAAAAATCTAAAGCCATACTCGACATTTTCCCCTTTTTCTATTACCTAAAGATATTGTTACCATAAAGGTAATACTGTCAAGGTTGCAGTATTACTACAATGTTTTAATCTGCCAATCTAAGGAAGCAGCCCACACTCAGACCAAGAGCAGTGGAAGAGTAACTGAAGTGCTATCAAGTCTGAATAAAAGTATCCGGCTGACAAATTTCTGTGAATTGCAGAATCTACATCCACCTCAGACTGCACATGGTTGCCTTTGTTGTAACTTGTGCCATGGATAGTATTTGGGAAACTTCCAAGGGATATTGCTCAAGTTGTTCACACCTACCACTACTCAATTGCATTACATTGAGAGTTTTCAGTTCATGGACAGGCTGTGCTGGCTTTTTCATCCCTGAATTGTCTGATCATTTTCAGTTATAAGGAACTTTTCTTTCTACACCAAAATTGAGCAGCCTTATCTGGCCAGGGAACCGTAGCAACTTAACTGATGGGATGGGTCAGTTCTGGGCTTTTTCCTCCCTTGACCTTTTTAGTGCAGCATTTTTCAGACACTATTTGAGCCAACAGGTATCCCTTCACGGGTGGATGACAAGTTGTTCCTTTCCTTCTGCCCATCTTGGCTGAATTCATTATGGACTGCAATCTCAATATGCACAGCCACCCTGACTTTAGACCTCGCATCCTAGTTCTATTTACAGCATTTTCCTTCAGAGCTCCAGAAGAGGGAAGCCAGGCAGCACAACCCTACAGTTTTGGTACAGTTTATTAATTTGTCAGTGGAAGTCCTGAACACTGTCAGAAATGTTTACTTCAGCATGTGGCTCAAAAAATAGTTCTATAAACAAGTTAGAGCCAAAGGTAGTACCTAGCCTTTCGTACTGAATAAAAAAAAAAAAAAAAATAATCTTTCTAGCATTATTGACTATGCTTGGAAAAAATAAAAAACCCCAAAACCCCACCACCACCAGAAAACCCCAACTTGTCTAAGACTTTCCTACACTTGCTTATATGCAGGCTTACG